AAAAAAAAAAAAAAAATAGTCCTAAATCATAACCATGACAAAACTATATATCTATATGTATAGTGTTATAAATACAGGTAAGATTAAAAAAATTAATATAGATATCGAATATACTATTTCATCTTTCTTACGTCTCTACAATTCTATTACACTCACTTGCCCTTTATAGGCAAAGTCTCATGCATGACATTTGATCTCTTTCACACATTCCATACATTCATTTGTGCAATAGCGATAAGATCAATAATTCCACTTGTTCACAACACTCTCCCTTGGAATTACCACTATTAAATATGAGTTCATGTTGTCTCGTTAAAAATCTCGTCCGGAAAAATCCTGTGGAAAAAAATCGACATAAGGAAAGAAGAGTACAACCGCACATGCTCTCCCTCGAGTTATCATCTGTGCAAATTTCAAATATGTCTCATTCCAATGTTGTTAACGTGTTTTCGAAATGTTGGAGTCGGAAGCGCCTTCGTAAATAAATGTGTTGCATTATCACTTGATCGAATGTATTGAATTTTGATTTATTTTTTCTTTTCCAAGCTCTTGAGTGTATGAGAAGAACTTTGGCGGAATATATTTAGTATTGTCACTCTTAATTTATATATCCTTCTTTGGTTTGAACGACACATGGTGCAATGTCTTCAAATATCACCACCGGATTTTAATTATTCGAACCCACTGGTCTTTTAAATATGTTGGGTCGTGTTTTCTGAGCCAGGTGTTTTCCCAAGTTTCTTCATGGAGTGCAATAATATCAGCATGGTTTGAAGATGTAGCAACTATAGTTTCATTTTGAAGCAAAATCGTATACGTTTAAAGAAGTCAAGGAAAATACGAGTAAATAGAGATAAAAGGGAAAAAAATAATCAACCTCTCCGAAAAGACTTGTTTTCGAACACGGCACCATTATTTGATATGGATAACATATATTTCGTGCCCCATCGCGTTTTGAAGCAAAATCGTATACATTTAAAGAAGTCAAGGAAAATACGAGTAAATAAGGACAAAAGGGAAAAAATAATCAACGTTTCCGGAAAGACTTTTGTTCGACCACAACACCATTATTTGATGTGGATAACATATATTTCGTGCCTCATTGCGTTTTAAAGTAAAAGCGTTGACATTTAAAGAAGTCAAGGGAGTAAATAGGGGCAAAAGGGAAAAAATAATCAACGTCTCCAGAAAGACTTGTTTTCGAACACGAAACCATTATTTGATGTGGATAACATATATTTCGTGCCCCATCGCTTCTGAATCAAAATCGTATGTTTCTCAGAACGCCAAAAAAATGCAGTTCCACCAATCGTGTGAACGTAGACAGTTTGAGATCTTGTCTTATGTGGGTCAGATAAATATTATGCATCTGCAATACCAATTATTTCATATTTCTTGTCATTTGAGTAAAACAATCTCAAATCGGTTGTCCCTTGGAGATAACCAAATATATGTTTCATTCTATTCCAATGTCTCCTCATATGTGACGAGTTATATCTCGCTAATAAGTGGTAGCCAAAGATATATTTGCCTGGTGCAATTAGCAAGATACACAAGAGCACTTATTACACATTTACACTCATATATGGTATTTCAGGACCATGTATTTCTTTATTTTCTTCATAAGGTCGAATTGATCTTCTTCAACATCTAATGTTTGATTGACCATCGGAGTATTAAGGGGATTAGTCTTGTACAAGTGGTTTTTGATGTTCGGAATCCCGTCGGATCTTCCCTGGGATGTTTTATATTTTATTAAGAATTTTCAGACTCCCAAGATGTATATGGAACATCCTCCTTAATTACCAATTTGAAAAACAACTCGTCTAGGTGCATCATCGGGGTCGAGCACCGTCACGGTTTGCAAAGGTCTTCGCGGCTGCTATGAGTGTAATGGTAGAAGGCTCATGAACGGCCTTTGTGAGGTCTCGCGGGGCATTTTCATCATCGCGGGCTACAATGTTTTTCGCGATCGCAAAACTCCGGGGGCTGGTGTCCACGAGCAGGGTCCATGACCATGAAGGGTCACAATGATCTTCTTATTCACGGGCCGTGAAGATTCTCATGGGCCATAAAGGATCTCGCAGGGTATGATGGTTTGAAACGTTGGTTCGCTCCATGATTAGCTTGTCGGGCCTTCGAGTGGCTTGATTAACAATAAAGTGACTTGAAATATGAGACTTGATTTGTATTATTCTTAACTCGATAAAAAAAATGCAAACACACAAAGAAAAGTATATACGAAAGCAACACCAAAAACACTAAATATATAAAACTTAAAAACGTGGAACCTAGACATGGCCAAAACACGAGCCGGGTAACGGCCCGGCCCGGCGGGCCTTCAGGCTCGAACACAAAGTCACGGGCCTATGCTCGTGCTAGGTCACTAGCCCGGTCAACCAGATTGTTCCGAGTCGCCATTTTTTTTAAAAAAACATAAAATATTATAAAAAGTAAAAAAAAATAGGTCATCAGCCTAGATCTGGCCTGACCCGCCAAATTCAAGGTCATGAAATGAATAACTCTGAAACAGTCTGTCAAAAATCCAGTATCCAGTACCAGACCCGTGTTCAACGGGCTTGACCGGGTTGGGTCGGCGGGTCCGGCGGCCCCGAGCCACGTTACTGGAACCAACCCACACGCCCCCCAAGTGCAAATTTCACTAAATTTAGCGGCGAAAGTGTGATATATAATTTCCATTTCTCATCCTCGGTCGACCGCTTAAACGTCGTCGTCTTACCGCAATTCTGTGACCTGGAGGCCCTCACCAGCTTCAAATCCTACATCCATTTTTCTCATTTCAATTGCATTCCG